CGTTTTGTTGCTGGTTAGCACATGGTCAAGTTTTCCTAGAGACTTTCTACACCAGAAATTCACACAGTTGTTGTCTTTCTCAGCGATTTGGCATCGTCATGAAATGTAAACTGCTTTCCAGCTTTGTACTTTATTACTTCTAAAGCTATGGCAGTAATAAAATGGGAAACCAACGCTTTTGATATTAAGAAGGGCTGGGTAAGTAACTTGTTCTTTTTTTTAGCCTTTCTAAAATCATTGTTTGCAGATCAATAGCCGGTTTTGTTTATGGCTCGTGGTCCGGATGCCTTTTTCTATGGGTTTACCGGTATAATAAACCATAGGTTTTTGACCAATCAGATCACGCGTACTATCTCAGTTATTTTATAAATATATATATATATGTATGTATGTATATATATATGTATGTATGTATATATGCTAATGGAGCACCACCCCACTCGATATTTAAGTTTTCAAGATTTTGTAAAAATTGATTTTGTAAATAACTTTCGTTTTCTCAAGTTTGTATATATATATATATTACTCTCAAAAATAGTTTTCCGAAATATTTATATAAGATCGCCTCTTGTTGCAAATAGTATTTTTGCGTAGCTTTTCACTGATGTTTGTACATAGGAAAATAGTTTGTAAATAAATCATTAGTTGAATTTAATCGTGGCTTGTTTCTTGACTCGACGCGACTTACACGCGAGATCTCCACGCGCGGGGAAAAAAACGCAACGCTAAAATGTGGCGTTTTTGGCTATCGTTTCGTGTTAAATTAACGATAAATTTTGTGTTGCAAACAGTTTTGTTCAGTTGAAAGGCAAAAGGTTGAAAGATTGTGAAAAAATAGATTTTGTAAATAACTTTCGTTTTCTCAAGTTTGTAAATAGCATTATATATAATAGAGTTTACTAAATGTCTAAAAAATGTTATTTGTTCATAGTTTGTAAATAAATCATTGGTTGAATTTAATCATTTTAGCTCGATTAGCAGATCATTTAACTCGAGTCCACGAGTTATCGGGGATAGAAAGGAAATATTGGCTACAGTTTGCTAAACTACAAAACACCAATGTGGTTCGAGTTTACGAGAAAGAGGTTGGACCTAAAACAATTTTTTTTCTTTAAATCAAAGAGCCCAGGGGGGGAACACAACGCTAAAATGTGGCGTTTTTGGCGCTTTTGGCGCTTTTGGTTGTCGTTTCGTGTTAAATTAACGACAAATTACTTGTGGTAAGCTCCTTTGTTTGCCTATTTTTTCTAACGCATCCTCAAATTTCATGTTACACATGGGAGATTTTAAAGCAAGATGGGTGGATTTCTAGGAACTCTGTGGTGGATTTTTTTATTCTTCTGCTTGTTTTGTGTCGATATTTGGGGGATGAGGTGTTTAAAGAACAGATGTTACTGTAAGGAGGAGCTGCCACTAATCGACTGTTCCCGAGCAAATTTGATGGTGGTACCTAAATCAGTTCCACTGGTAATATAAACTACACTACACTGAACTTGACACATAACTTATTGGTTCAAGTAAACTTTTCTGTGTTGAAGGAATAACTCCCCAATTCCAAAAATGTGGATCTGAGGGACAATCCGTTCGAGTGCAAAGGATTCCCGGACAAGACGATATTTGGAGTAATCACTGACTGTGAAATCGCAGTGACCAGAAAAACTCTAAAGACCTGACAAGACTACCATCATCACACGCTGGAACTTCCACCAGAAAAACTCTAAAGACTAGGAAACTAGCCCAACCAACAACGGCTACAAGACTACCATCATCACACCCGGGAAAGTCCATAATTATTTATATGACTTTTTTTGTTTTCATCCGTTTTATTAATGCCAGTCATTATCCTTTGTTTGAAAGGTGTTGTAAAACTGTGCAAAACAAGACATCGTACCAGACATCATTTCCTGTGAACTAAGTCTGTTCAATTTTGACGCTGATAGCGAGGAACACTTGATACTAGATAATACTTGATATCACTGCCTTGTAAATACGCAACGGATTTCATGTCTTCTCCTGCTTAATAGCTGAATGTCACACTTAAAGTTCTTCTTGGTTTCAGATCGCTTTTGTTTAGAGGACCCCATGCCTAATTAGTTCAAAG